TTATATAGTCACAACTTTTATAATCACCAAAATTTTGTTTCCCAACCTGGTGATTATATTGAGGTCTGACTGTATATAAATTTATTGTTATATTAATGTATTATAGCAAATTGTTTAAAAATATTCAATAAAATAAGTACAGTAAATCAATTAAAAACTATCTAAAAAGTGTTATTTAATTTATATAATAATGAATATAAAACAATACAAAATTCAAAAATAAATTATCTCATATTGAAATAGTTTCTTTATTTAGAATCAAAAATATTGCACTTTAAAATAGTTTTTCAATATGTTTGTTATTATCCTAAAAACTATTTAGCTACAACTACCCTATACTAATTCTACTCTAACCCTAATTGCAATATAACTATCCTAGTTCTATAGCAACAAATTTTTTTTTTCTAAAAGCTAACCTAAAATGATATACTTTATTATCATTTGCTAGAAAAACTATTTCTAAAAAGAAATAAAAAGATATTAGTTGTGCTTCTAACAACAAAACAAAAAGAAAATATCATATGCTCCTGGAATATATTAAAGAGAAATATCAAAAAATGCTTTAATCAGTACTTGAAAGAGAAAAGAAAGTTAGTTATATGCTTATTGAAGAAATTTAATAACCACAGCATATTAAAAAACATTATATTTCTGAATTCTAAGAACCAAAAAGAAAATAGATAGCTGAAAGCTCTTAAGCAAATCCTAGTAGCAACAGTACAAAATTATATAACTCTGAAATACCGAATAGAAAGATCAAAGAATACTTCAATCAGTACTTGAAAGAAAAAAGGAAGTTAGTTATATGCTTATTAAAGAAATTCAATAATCATAGTATATTAAAAAAAAACATTATACTTCCTCAAATTCTAAGAACCAAAAAGAAAATAGACAACTGGAAGCTCTTAAACAAATCCTAGTAATGATATCATAAAATTATAGGACCCTGAAATACTAAATGGGAAGATCAAAGAATGCTTCAATCAGTACTTGAAAGAGAAAAGGAAGTTATATACTTATTAAAGAATTTAATAACCACAGTATATTAAAAAAATATCATACTTTCTTAAATTCTAAGAACCAAAAAGAAAATTTACAACCAGAAGATTTTAATCAAATCCTAGGACTCTGAAATACCAAATGGGAAGATCAAAGAATACTTCAATCAGTACTTGAAAGAAAAAAGGAAATTATATACTTATTGAAGAATTCAATAACTATAGTATATTAAAAAAAACATCATACTTTCCCGAATTCTAAGAACCAAAAAGAAAATTTACAACCAGAAAATCTTAAACAAATCCTAGAACTCTAAAATACCAAATGGAAAGATCAAAAAATGCTTCAATCAGTACTTGAAAGAGAAAAAGAAATGATATACTTATTAAAGAATTTAATAACCACAGTATATTAAAAAAACATTATACTTTTTTGAATTCTAAGAACCAAAAAGAAAATTTACAACCAGAAGATCTTAAGCAAATTCTAGAACCCTGAAATACCAAATAGAAAGATCAAAGAATGCTTCAATTAGTACTTGAAAGAGAAAAGGAAGTTATATACTTATTTAAAGAAATTTAATATACAGTATATTAAAAAAAAAAGTTTAATTTTTAATACAAGTTAATTTAAAAGATCTCGAAGTTTTATTGGTTGTTAAAGTATAACAAACAATTAGTATTAGTGATAATAGAGCTTATTAGATCAAGATTATGTATTATCTAATTTAAAAATTATGATCATTAAATATTACTTAAATATTTGACTATTAAATAATTATTTAATTCTGCCAAGCACTAGTTGCCTTATTGCCTACAACTTTTTGCTAACTTTCAATACCATATGTGATCTGCCTTAACAATATGTTCTCTCTCTCGCAAAGCTCTAACTTTTAGAACTTGTCTGTAAGATTAGCAAAAACTAGTTATTAGCTTGTCAAGATTGTCTATTTCCCCTTTCTTAAAACTTCTTCTATCTAGATTTAGACAAAAAAGTTAATTTCTTACTTCTATACAAAAAACTAAACCAAATACTATACTTACAAAAAAAACAAAACAAGTTTAGAAAAGAATAAAAAAAAAGAAAAAAAGAAAAACAAAACAGAAAAACTAAATCTAAGCACTATTCAATTATAAATAGAAAAGGATGAAAAAAAAGAAATGCAACTACTTAAATAGTACTATTATAACTTGTGCCAAGGTTTAAAAAATTAGATACTACTTTATAAAGCAATATTCATATATTTTTATTGTAAAGCTTCACTTTATTACTAAATTTTCTTTTATCTTGACAAATCAACTTCAAAAATTTTTAGCCAATTTACTTCTAGTTCGTATCTCAAGCCAAATGCTGCTACTGTCTAAGAATCTATATTTTAAGCTACCTGTTACCACTTATAGAAGTATCTTGATCTGGGATTGATTCAAAATAGTAGCTTTATACTCATTTAGACCAAATATATAGTTGCTATCTACTGCATTATCTGAATTTGAAAAATATAAACAATGCTGATCCTTTGGCAAGAGTAAGCTATTTTGCCTACTTTTTTTAAAAAATTTTTTGTTACCAAAATAAGTAGATAGTAAAGGTCAAAAAAATAAAAAATTATCAAAGAAATGAGTATAAAAATTATGCTATATAGAGTATTGTATTTTAATAAGTAGTTACTTTTATTTTTATATCTGTAATACTTGACAAAGCTCCAAAGTTGCTCTACTACTTCTTTGCTTGGAGTACTGTAGCCTGCCAAGATGCCTTGTTTAACCATTTGCTATTAATCTTTTTTAACTCTATTTCAGTAAACAGAACACTCAATAAATAGACTTTGTACCCAATAGCAGCTAAGTAGAGTTTTATTTGTATAAAAAACAATATATATAAAGTTTTCATAGTTTAGTTTTTTTGTAAAATTTTGGTACAAAGGGTTATTAGAAAGAGTTGCTACAAAAATAGATAAATTTTAAATATTATAAAAATTATAAAAAATAATATTTTTGCTATAGGGTGTAGCAGCTTAGTAAAGTGATTTAGTCATTATTTCACCAAGCAGCAGGTCCAAAGTTCGAATTCTATCAATAATATTTTTGAAAAAATAAATCTATATTATGATAATGATTATCTATCGATTAGTTGGATCTAGAATCTGTAATCTTGATTACACTATCTAGTATAGAAGTCTTGGTACATAAATGCCAAGAAACTGAAATAATTGAAACCTGTTTGGAAAGACCCGAGTAAAGAATAACTACATTTTTAATAGTGCTACAGGAAAGACTCAAATTTGAAAGTTAGAACTAAAATCGAAAACTAAACAACAACAAGATCCTTTAGTGGGAGATTTACCAACCTGACCACCAATTTAGAAAAGTTAGAAATCTGCAAGACCGTTACAAAGTACACCAACTCTGTTCAGCTGGTATGCAAATCTGGTAGTAGGTGTACTACCTACCAAAACCAGAGGTTATGAAAATTAGGCAAGAAACTAGTTAGACAAAAAAATGCTAGGTGTGTCTAGAGGATTAGTCTACTAAATCAGAAAAAAAGAACATATACTAGGAAATCATGTACCAAGATAAAATGATGACACTGGTATCTAAAGCCAAGCCAAGATTAAATCTTCTGAGTTATTAGTTAAAAGTAAGAGATAGAAAATAACAGAAAAAGGAAAAGTCCAAATGTGGATACTGGGATTGGGAAATGAACCTTATAAGAGCAAAAACAGTTAAATAAGTAACAACTCAACTACAAGTAAGAGCCTCAGCATTTACGCAAAACCAGATTGGCCCAAATAAGATAAAGAAAGCTTTAGTAGGTTTACCTTATAAATAGCCATGCATCCACTCAATAGAGGAATGCAAGCCAGTAATTAGTCAGTGCAAATCTAGGATAAGTCATAGATGTCCTAAAGCAGAGTGTGCAATCTAAAGGAATAGGCCAGATGGTAGTTCTCAGATTAGTATGATATGCTATAAAAATGGTTAGAATCAGAAGGTTTAAACAAGTAATTCCCTAGTTGGATTATAGGTATGGCATCTAATATAGAACCTGTGAGTAAACTACTTAAATAAGTACTCAAAAGGTGCATGTATGGCTAGTTGTATCTTTATTATAACTATAATAGCAAATGATTATTAATAAAGGGTTCCCCATGGCCAAAGAGTTCACCTTAATATCAAATAATAATAATAATAATAATAATATTTTTGCTATATATACTTTATTTTATATAAACTTTTACACATCTACGATGTTTAAATACGCTTTTAAAAGTTCTTTTCAAACCCTAACCCTAAATGCTAACACTAATATAAAAATTTTTGTGTTGAAAATTTTTATATTCAAAACAAAAAAATTTTAAAAATATAATAAAACATACAATAGGTGCAAAACCACCATAGATGCGTTTTATAATAAATGTTTATATATATATATAAACAAAATTAATTTTTAATATTTTTGTATTAGAAGTAATAAGATTACCAATAGTGTTTTATTATTTTTAAAATTCACTACAATTAATTTGATATTATATGTATTATACAGTATTATAATATATATATATATATATTATTTATATACAGTATACGTATTTATTTATCATCATTTTCTAAACGTAAATGAAAATATAAATAAGTTATAATTATACTTGTAAAACCTATAGCTAAGCCGTAAGGAAAAATTCCGTAATCTAATATATAAATATATAAATATATTTATTGTATTACGTATTTAAATTAGCATTAAAAATTTGATCTAAAAAAAAAAAAAAGAACGTTTTATAAAAATATACCGATATAGTGGACGTACCTGATTTTAATTTTTTTAAATCTTTTTTATATTTTTTACCAATAACTTGAGCAATTTTTTTATCAATATCATTAACAAAAATAAGCTGAACATCATTTTCATTCATATCCCAATTTAAACCATTAATAAAAATAGCACTAATAACAGTTATTTGTTGTTTTTCAAATTTTTTTAAAGCCAACATTTTATACTTTAAAGCTTGTAAACCAACAACTTTTCTAGCCAAATTTCTAGCTTTTCTAGCAGTTGAACCAGTAATAGTTTTCATATGTTTAACTTCAACAACACAAAAAACACCCGAATCCGAAGCAAAAATAAAATCACCTTGACCATAATGAGGTTTGTTAAGAACATAATTCCATTCAAAAGTATAAAGATATTTAAATCCTGGAAGATAAGTTGATAAATTTTGAATAAGTTGAGATTTTAAACGATGTTCTTGAATACTAACATCTTTATAAATAGACCATTTAAAAATTTGGTTCTTATGTCTAATTCTTAAATATTCAGTGAAAGGTAAATACCATTTTGAAGATAAAAGAAATAATTTTCCAAATAAATCATCTAAATTAATAGACCAATAAAAAATTAATTTATTTGGTCTATTAGTAGTTCCAACATATTTTTCATAAAATAATTTATTAGAATTAATTAAATCTTTAAATTCATGATCAATAAATTTTTTTATATCATGATAATTAATAATATTTTCATGAGTTAAAGAATTTCTATCATAAAATAATTCAGCACGATTATGTTCCAATTGAATAGCAGATAAAATTTTCTTGCAAACTTGAAGAACAATATTTTGTTTATCCTTATTAAAAGTATAAGAAGAATTTTTAAATGAAGGAATACTACATTCCAAACATTTACAATTATAATTAATTAAATTCGGGGTTTTTTTTTGTAAAGTATTTAAAGAATTTGAAGATGAAAAAAAAAATTTTTTCCCCGAATTTAAAAGTAAATTACGTTTTGTTGAAAAAGAGATTAAATTTTTGATATACATTTTTTTTCATGTTAACTTGTAATTAGCGTTTAGTAATGGGGCTTTTAAAGATCTATGTTGCACAGATTATGATCATAGATCATAGGTAGTATCATAGGCATATAGTAAATCATAGTAGCAACTTGATCTACGATTTAATATATCGATATTATATTATGGTGTGTAGACTAAGATAATGCTTAAAATAATGCTTAAAATAATGCTTAAAATAATGCTGAAAATAATGCTGAAAATAATACCCATAATACGTACCCAGGAGAATTATTTCGCACCAGTACAGGTAAGAAAAAAAAAATTTTTTAGTACGCACATGAAAGAAGTTATATCGAACAAGATTGAATTAACGCTAAAACTTTTATCGTCATATGAGGAAATTTTTAGTATAAATGATTGAAAATAGGCCAAACCGGATTTGGTAATTTTATGAATACTATGAAAAATTGCGATGATTGAGAACTTGTAAATAAACCGACCAGATACATACGTATACATGCACGTATTCACGTAATTGTAATGTAGGTACATGAATGTATTTACTGTAGAAAGAAGTTTATTCGGTAAATTTTTCGAAAAAAAAAATTTTTTTTCAAGATTTCGCTTATAATCAAACCAGGTTTATATGTAGGATGACGAGCTTTTAACATAACATCAATATAGCATCAACATAACATCAACACAACAACGGACCCTTAAAAAATCCAGTATATAAGTACTAGAGATGAAACTTTTTAAGGGGGTTTAATTCGTGGTTTGTTTTTTTTTTTTTTTTTTTTTTTTTTGAGATGATGATCTAATCTTTATCGTTTGAAAAAAAAAGATACTGTAACGATAAGTGAATAATAAGCTAGTGTAACCGATAAGACAAATCTCGGCGCAAGGAATTTTCCGTAAGAGTATTTTTCGTGATTTCTTTCGAGTTGGTCATGTTAGTTATTTTCATGTTGTTATGTTGTCATGTTGTCATGTTGTCATGTTGGAAGGATTTATTTAACAAAATACAGGAAAAACGAGTTATATTTTTTGTCATGAAACATAAATATTTTAAGACGGTCCGTGCGTAAACGATTACCGTATTATCAATAACATCGATAATATCAATAAGGTAGCAAATAACGAATAAAGTTGAGTAAATAATACTCGTGTAAATAACATTTGTTTAAAATGGATAATATTTTTAAAAATATAAAAAAGTAAAGTTATAAAATAGAATCGAAATAATAATTAAATGCTAAAATAATGGATTCACTTTTTTTTAAGAAAGTTATTTTAGAGTTCTTACAAGAATTCTCAAATCGAAGATTGTAAGTTTAGAAATTACCTGATTTTAATCCTGTAAATTATGCACAATATTTAAAAAAAAAAATCTTTAAAAGCCACATTATATATTGTTTAACGATTTATGTAGACCAATAGAAAGGAAAATAAAATCAGTCGAAAATAAATGAACAATTCTTACACACGTAATACTATAATATCATGCGATTCTAAGAATCAGGTTGGTTTTTTTTTTTAGAGTTTGCTGTTTGTTATCATTACAGCATTATCGCTAAAAAAAAAAAATTTTTTTTTACTGATAAACTGTTGATAAGCTGTTGATAAACATAGACTATTGATAGTATGCAAGTATAATTTTTAACTCAAGAAAGTCTTGCTAGTTACGAGATTTATTTCCCGTGTACAACCAAACTTTAAAACCTTGCCATTATGACCATTATGAAAAATTTTTCTGAGAATCTTGTTTCTTACAAAAGATTTAGTTCATCAAATGATTTTGATTCGTCATATGAAAATTTATGGTCACACCTAAAAAAAAAAAAGATCACTCACAAGTTATTACATACATACGTATGTAAATTTGGTTAGCGAAACGAAAAAAAAAAATTTTTCATTAATAAGGAAAAAGTACGCCAGCCGAATTATAAAGGTAAAAATAACTTTCTTGCAAACAATAATTTCAAATATAAACGCGCTTATAGAAGTTTCAAATACTAGAAATACTAACTACATTAAATGGACGGATAAGATCGAGAGAAAACAATGACGTTCAAATTACGAACTACATTATAAGAATCAAGAAAAATGGCGATTGTTGTTTATAAACATAAAAAAGATTATCCGTACTACCAAAACAATTTGATTTAAAATTGATTTAAAAAAATTTTATATATTCCCACTATTTTGTTTCGGTCATGGGACGGATGAAATCCGATTTCGGACAAAATTTTCAGGATTCCGACAAAGTATTGTGTAGATTGTGAGAAGGTTCTCACACAGGCCATTTCCAAGAATGACTTTGACAGCCAGCTTTTGTAGTAAGTCATTAATAAAATTTTAGTAAAGCATTTGTTAAAAATACCGGTTTATAAACCAGCTTTGAATATTATAGAATATCACAATAGAAAGTAAATGCTATAGGACCTTTTATCGTTATTTAAAAAAATTAATCACGGTTAGTTCCGTAGTTCCATGATATACTAAATTCATAGTAATTTCCGTGAGGATGAAACAAAATAAACATTAATAAAAAGTTCTAAACAAATATTGTCAATAATAATAGAAATAATTGGTTAGTGTTAAAAAAGATACGAAACAAGTCCGCGCTTGAAATTCTTGAAATTAAAAAATTATCAGATAAGAACCTATGCTAATTAAGATAGACGCATATATTTACCAAATTAAGAATAAAAGAAAATTAAGATAATAATGAAACAAAATTTTTTAAACAGTTGATAGTCATAATAGTTTTTTTTTTACCGATTATGCAGTTTTAACAGAGTAAGTGAGTACGTATGTACTGTACTGTAGTATACATATCAGGTAATACACTTTAAATGTCAATAATAATAAATACCGATACAGTTTTTCATTTTAATTTCGTTTTAATATCGGTAAAGCTTTAATTTTTTTTTTCAATGGTAGTTTAATTTTTCAATGCTTTATTGTTTTAATATTTTTTAATACTTTTAATTTTTTTTAATTTTTTTAATGGTTAATATGTTTTAATATATTTTAATATGCGATAAAAGTTTGATAAAAGTTTGATAAAAAAAAAAAATTTTAAAAAATTAAAATAGAAATAATTTTCGAAAACAGTTTCAAACATTCAATCCTATAAAGTAAATGATTATTCAAAGATAAGTAAAAAGTACGTCAATGATTTTTTTTTTTAAAAAAAAGAATGGATATACAAACAACACTATAACTCTAATGACAAAACCTATAAATATAGACGAAAATCAGCTGAATTTAACAAAATTTGAGAAAAACGTAAACAATAGAGAAATGAATGCCAATTGTAAAAAAGAAAAACAACTTTCATTTAAAGTCAAAAAAAGATAAAGAAAATCATATGATCATATGTGATGATCGAAAAATCGTGGTAGGATCGTAAAAAAAAAATGTCAAAGCATTGTAAAAACCTCAGACAAAAGTATTGAATTTGCTGAATCGATGTACACCCGCCAAATCCTAATTTGATTGAATACTCATGAAAAGGGTGACTCCATGTGTTTTTGTGACAATAGGTTAAAGGCATTGATATGTATATCGATGTATATCGATGTATATGTAGATATGTATATGTAGATATGTATATGTAGATATGTATATGTAGATATGTGTATATGTTAATATGTATAATAGATATAGCTATATCTTATGCTGTACATCTGTAAATACCTGATATGTACTTACGTACATACGTACTGTACATATTTATCAAGATCTTGTACAGTAGTATGTAAAATGATACACGCGTCATACAGTTGTACATACGTACGTTCGTTCCTAAATTATGATATGAATTTTGGTATGGATAATTTACTATTTGAGATTAGTATTAAGTTACCGGTAACTGTATCATCAGGCTCATCAGACTCATCAAAAATTCATAAAATTTATCAAAACTGGTCTTTTTAGATTTCGGTTTATTTTAAATGCGAGATAATGAAAAAAAGTGAGATCAGTCGCGACACAACCTTTTTTCTTAAGTTATTTTATGTTTAAAAAGAACTTTAGTGAAACAATACACATTTGCCATGCGAACCTTGGTGCATAATTCAGAAAAAAACCAATGAACACAAAAAAAAAGGGGGAAATACGACTAAATTGATAAAATTGATAAAATTGATAAAATTAAAAATGTGAAAAAAAAGTGAAAAATAAGGTTTAGTTATAAATTTTATAAATTATAGATTCGGCCGGTAATTGCTTAAATGGACGATTTAAGAAACGATTAGGGACGATTTAAGAAACGATTAGGGAACGATTTAGAAAATGATTTAGGAGAAAATGAGTTTAAGGAAACGATTTAGGGAACGAATTAGATTATACATCAGAAACGAATTAGATGATACATCAGAAACTAATTAGATGATACATCAAAAACAACACTTGTATATGATGTTTATATAAGGTAAGTTATGAGGTAAGGTGAAACAAAGATAAACGTGGATAGCTTAGTAAAGTTTAAGTTAGCATTCTGAAAATCATCGATCATGAATTGGTGCTGTCAGGATTGCTAGCAGGTGAATCGTAGGGAATCCCCGGGAATGCAACGAATAATACCGTAATAATGTTATTATCATTATCAAGTTCATAATCACTTATCTGCGCCATAACGATAAATTATTTATCTATGTTGATAAATCAGGCTCTTAAATATTTATATAAGCACAAATATAAATAATTATATTTAAAGGACCTTTCGGACTTTCCCTAAAACACATCTCATGTAAACAGTGTGGCGATGTGTTCTGATAACTTTTACCGATATCTGTTAGCCAATAATCTACTTTGGTTTTGTTTTTTAATCATCTGCTTTTTTTTTTTTTGACAGAAATCCTTATTGTACTTATTTATCTCTATCATTATGCCGAGTATAAAAAATTTATTATATTTATTATATTTATTGTATTTTATTGTATTTATTGTATTTATTGTATTCATTATTTATTATAAACGTTAATAAATTATATTACAGTTAATTACTGTATACAATTACTGTATACATATACTGATACTATACTGATACTGATACATATACTGATACTGTAAATATATACACTAAAGCAAAATAATATATACGATAATATAACTTGGGTACACGATATAAAAAAAAGATAATGGTTTTCTGTCACAATCATCCCCTTGCATTAATTCAATTTTGTGATTTCTGTGATTAGTGTAATCAATGTCTACCAAAACAAATATTTATACTTCTACTTTTCGTCCTCTTTGCCCTTTGGTCGTCCATTTTTTTTTTTTTTTTTTTTTTTGAATTAACACTCCGGGTGTTCTAATTTTTTTTCTTTGACTTTCTTTAATTTGTCAAAGAAAATTTATCTTTATTATATTTTAATTTTTATGACCTATTCTTTAACGTTTACGAAATTTTAAAATTTATTATTTTAAAAAAATTTAAAAAATAATTCTCTATTAATATCTTACTCTGGTCCTCTCTCAAATTTCTCAAATTTCAAATCTCTAAAATTCTCAAACTTCACAAACTTCTTCTAAGAAAAAAAAATTTTACGAAAATGGTCTTATTAGTTTTAACTGAACGTATTCGACACGCGATATACCAAGCTTTACAATCCCCTGATTTTGATGAATCTGCAAAGCAGAGACTTAGGTCCTATCTTAAGTCTAGTGCATGCATTCCTCTTGATCTCATTAAAGAGGTTTCAAAATTCTTGGTTAATCGCGATGGAAAACTTGGAAAGGAAATTGGTGAGCTTGGTATTTTTTTTTTTTTTTTTTTTTTCATTTTACATAATCTTTTATCATCAAAATCTTGCTTTATCCACTTTATCCATTTATTCACTTAGTATTGTTTATTAAAGCCACAACGGTTTTAAAACATGCATACCCATTGTGTAGTCATATTAAAATTATTATATAATTTTGATAATTTTGCAAATCTTTTCTCAATTTATTCTATTTCTCACCCCCCGATATTTCCCATTATTGAACTTTAACTTAAAAAAAAAAAATTTTTTTTTTTTTCTTTTCGATTAAAACCGGACATTTTCATTTGTTCACGCGCCATTGACATTGACGCCATTTATCCTTATTTCCCAAAAAAAAATTTTTAGGTTTCTCAAGCTATTGGCTACATGAATTGCTCACTGGTAGTGGTGTTTATATGGAACCTCGACAAGATAGAGTCAAGGTAAATAATCAATCCTGTTTTATTTTATCATACTTTAATTGTATGATTTTTTTTTTTTTTTTTTCGCAAAAATTTAAAATTTATTAATTCTAAAATTGTAAAATTTTTTTTTAGAGTCCTGAATTACTTGCTCGACTGGAAAAAATTCTTGCTGAACAAGCTAATAAAGAATATGCTCGTATGATTGGACGTGTTGCTTCTTCATATGATGTGGAAACTTTCAAGCTTCTTGATACTGAAGAATTCCAAAGTATCCGCGGCCAGCTCACCGCTATAATTAATATTACTTTCACCGTCGTTGCTGTATTTGCTGCCGTGTATCACGTTGCGCAAACAATTACTGGTGATACGGGAATGGTAGGTTTATTGTTGTATTAACTACTACGTTAGCTATGTTAACTTATATATTAATTATCATTCAATTACAGCGTGTGTTACTTGCACTCACCGGAAGCGTTATCGTTGGTGTTGCTGAAACTTTCTTGTACATTCGTTATCTTTCTGGCTTCGATAAAAATGATCCTAAAGAACAACGTAAACAACGTCGAAGGTCATCTGCTGCAGCTTTACAACCCAGAATTAGTCCTTCTCATTTCTCGAGAGCAAGATTGGCGGCAAAATCTTCATTAGCTTCATGAGCATTTATTGGTACTTTAGCACCTCGCGAAAAAAAAAAAACTTTAAAAAAAATTTTTTTTTTTAAAAAAAATTCTTTGTACATTTTTTTTTTTTTTTTGTTATTGGTCGTATATTATTTGGAGCTCTCTCACCCTTAGTAATAATGTGTACAGAAAAGGTCCGTCTTTTGAAAAAAGAGCTCCAAGTACTATACGACAAAAAAAAAGGGCATTTTGTTCATGTAATATAACAAAGCAAGTAATTTTTTCTTTTCACCTTTCCATTTTTTTTCATCCTTGTTAATTCAAAAAAAAAAAAAAAAAAGCCAAAAAAAATTTTTTTATTCTCTAATTTCTCAACAGCAAAAAAAAAAAAAAAAAAAATCGAGACTTTTCGTCTCCTAAGCTTCTAGGTTCTGTAGGTTCTGTATGTAATTGTATAGTGTGTTGTGTATTTCATTTCATTTTTCAAAAAAAAAAAACAAAAAAAAAGGATTCGGTTGTAGGGTTCGGTGTCGGAAAGTCATTTAATGAACATTTTTTTTTTTTATTTTAATTTTCTTTATTAAAAAAAAAAAAGGGCAATGACCTTTGGCCTTTTTTTATCCTATGCAAAACATTAGGATAAATTCAGAATTGTTCAAAGTTCTGTGGTGATAATGTTTAAATTTTTTTTTTTTTTTTGTTTTTTTTTCTTAAAAAAAATTTTTTTTTTTTTTGAACGTGCATAATCAAAATAATCAAAATTAATAAAAATCGCTCTTAGCATTAATTTACTTTACTTTAAATGTGTTTGTTTTTATTTTATTTCGAAATTATCTTAATAAATTTTAAAGAGTTAACAGATTTAGCAAAATTTAATAACGCTAATATATTTTTCCTTGATACGATTCTTGAAATTATAATTTTGCTAAGAATATATATATATATATAATTTCAACATATCAGTTTGATTTTCAAAGTTTGTTTTCGTTAACGGTAAAACTTTTACCGAGTCATTCACCTTTCACTAATTTACTGATATCGCCTTCAATACTTTCGGGCTAAACAAATATATATATTAGAATATAATGATGAATTTTTTAACAACGATGATTAATAGTTTTTAAAGAAACTAACCGTGACATCATGTTTATATCTCCTAAGAACATTTCCTTCGCGATCAACCAAGAATTTAGTGAAATTCCATTTAATATCTCCATCTCCGTTGTCATTAGGTGCACACTTCTTAAGGAATTCATAAAGAGGCGTCGCGTTTGGTCCATTCACTTCAATTTTAGAAAACATCGGGAACGAAACACTGTAGTTTCTGTTGCAAAAATCTTTGATATCTAAAAAAAAAAAATATAGATTAATTATTATATAAATTAGGGTGACGAAATAATTGGCGAAATTGATTTCATCAGCATTTCCAAGTTATTAAATAAATACCTTTTTCAGTATCGGGTTCCTGATTTCCGAATTGATTGCAAGGAAATCCGAGAACGTAAAAATCTTGATTTTTATAATTTTGATAAAGTTTTTCCAATCCTGTATATTGTTTAGTAAATCCACATTGTGAAGCGACGTTAACAACTAAAACAACTTTTCCTTTAAATTTATCAAAGTTGGTTTGGTTTCCGTCAATATCTTTAACTTGGAAGTCGTAGAATGTTGTCATTTTCGATGAACTGTTAAAAAAAAAATTTTTTTTTATTGATTGAATGTAATTATTTCTTGCAGCAAAATGATAATGATAAGATTTTGTTGTATTTGAAAGAAGTCGGATTTGATGAGCTTTTATACTCATTTTTTTTTTTAAAAAAAATTATGCACAGATTAAATAACGATGGGAAAATTTAGAAATACCCTGTACATTAATTAATAATCAAAAAGGATTGTTCTAAAAAATTTGGTTTATTTGAATATGTGCATCCAACCCATTTTTATACAATTTAAATCTTTCATTCGGGTTAGGATAAACAATACTATATATTTGATTTTGTTGCATAGTTAATCGCTCCAATTGCATTCTAGTAATTTTTCGTTTTCGTTACCTTTATTTTTTAACCGTTAGATACTTACTTATATGTTATCAGTTATGTACATACGTACGTACGTACCTTTAATATTGTTAACGCCTACAATCAAAATACAATATATATATTTTGCTAAAATAATGATGTTTATTTTAACAATTAAAGAATTACGCGGCTCTCATGTACAGTACTTACCATTTACGTAACGTGCGTATATATTTACGTATCACGTACAGTATCACGTATCACGTATTTAAATGTCTTTCTATTCCGTCTGGACAATTCCGTACTACGTTATAAAATTACCATTGTCAGTGTTTTCATTCCAACTATGATATACCAATCATGAAGAAAGAAAGCGAGAACTCACATTTTAAGCTATAGTTCAAAATAACGTAGTTTCCAAATTTATAAAAATAACTAACTAAATTAATAGTTTTTAATATCTGTTATTAGTATTTAGGTTTAGGGTTCGGAACCGCGGGTCTACTATTACTATCCGAATATCCGTATAACTGGATATTATAAATATTTTACGATAATAATAGCAACCGTAATTCTTTAAACGGATAACCTATATCCGCAAGGTTAACCGGATTTGACCACATATCCGGATGCTGTACGGGTAATAACGGTTATTATGCAATCACCAGATTTTCATCCGATTGCGCGAATGCGAATAATAATATTGATACGGCAAGCAAAAAATAATATTTCCCTGGTTAAAAAATGTACTTTCGCATAATCAGATGACAATCGGGAATGTGCAGTTGATTGTAATGTCTGTCAATCGAGAATGTGCACATATATTAGATTATCGCAATTTGCAAATTGATGTGCCCTTTTGATCAAATTTTTAGATCGTTGCACACTAATACAATCACTTGTCCTTTTGCGCGATAATACAATAATTTTTTTGGTGAGCATAGATATGGCTGACAAATTTCATGAAAATAATATATTAAAATTAAATCATTGGCCAAAAAAGCATTTACAATCATGCAATTGGACAACAATCAGGTGATTATGTTCAAAAAGGCAAATTGCGATAATTGAAAGTGATTCTTATAAGTACTTAATAGAGATAATTTTTTTTAAAAAAAAAATATATATATAGTGTTTGTAGTCGATTTCGCATAGTCGATTTTTATCGACTTAGCCGGCTTAGCCGATTTTCCAAAAAATCGACTTAGTCGATTTTGTGTTAGATTTAGTGATTTGAACCGAGAAAAATTTCTTTAATCGGTTAACCGAACCGAATTATTTTATTCAACCGGATGTCAACCGGCTAAGATTATTTTTTGTTTTATCTTCAGAAATTGCTCATCTTTCATGTCCATTCATTCTCTTTTCGGAACTTTTCGGAACTTTTCCTCTCTCCTCAACCGATTACCCAAATTTCAACCGGATGTATCGGGTCAACCGATTAAGAATTTCCTCAAACAGTTAACCGAAATTATTCGGTTCGGGTCGATTAACCGATTATAGGCCAACCGATTCAAATCACTATGTTAGATAAAATAAGATAAATAAGCTCTTTTACTATAATTGGGCCAATCTATAATTAAAGAATATTATGAGGTATTGTTAAATGAAATAAGATGGATAAGCTCTTTTATTATAGTTGTAATTAAAAAATACTATAAGATATTGTTAGGTAAAATAAGACAGATGAGCTTTTTTAATAATCAAAGCTATATTTAAAAAATTGAAAATATAATCAATACAAACTAGTAGATTAATTTTTTTTTTTTTTGATATTAAGATAACCTCTTTGGCTATGGGAAACTCTTTATTAGTAATCATTTACTATTATAGTTACAATGAAGATACAACTAGCTACATATGCATCTTTTGAGTGCTTATTTAAGTAGTCCGCCTACAGGTTCTACACTAGATGCTGTACCTATAACCCAACTAGAGAGTTACTTGTTTAAACCTTCTGATCCTAACCATTTTTATAGCATATCATACTAACCTAGGAACTACTATCTGGCCTATTTCTCTAGATTGCATACTCTGCTTTAGAACTTCCATGACTTATCCTAGATTTGTACAAACTAATTACCAGCTTGCATTCCTCTATTAAGTAGATACATGGCTATCTATGAGGTAAACCTACTAGAGCTTTCCCTATCCCATTTGGGCCATCCTGGTTTTGCGTAGTTGCTGAGGCTCTCACTTGCAGTTGGGTTATTACCTATTTAACCACTTTTGCTCTTATAAAGTTTATATTCTAATCCTAGTACCTGTATTTAGATCTTTCTTTTTTCTGTTATTTCTCTATTAGTCTATCCCTTACTTCTAACCAGTGACCTAGAAGATTTAACCTTGGCTTGGCTTTAGGTGCTGATACCCTCGTTTCATCTTAGTATATGATTTCCTAGTACATGTTTTTTTTCTCTAATTTAGTAGACTAGTTCTCCAGATATGCCTGGCATTTTTCTGTTTGACTGGTTTCTTGTTTGACTTCTATAATCCTGGTCTTGGTGGGTAGGGCCCTACTACCGGTTTCCCATGCTGGCTAGCCAGGGTTGGTGTACTTCATAATGGCCTCACAGATTTCTAACTTTCCTAAATTAGCAATCAGGTTGGTAAATCCTCTCACTAAAGGATCTTGTTGTTATTTGGTTCTCCAATCTCAGTCCCAACTTCCAAATTCAGGTCTTTTCTGTAGCACTGTTGAAGATTGTAGTTACTTCTTACTCGGGTCTTCCTAAACGGGTTTTGATCATCCTAGTTTCTTGGCATTTATGTGCTGAGACTTCCATATTAGATAGTACAACCAAGATTACAGATTCTAAATCCAACTGATCAACAGATAATTGTTATCATAATACAGGTTTATTTTTTGAAAACATTATCTATAGGATTCGAACTTTGGACCTGCCGCTTGGTGGAGTAATGAATAGACCACTTTACTAAGCCACCACACCTCTACAAACTAGATTAATATAAAAGCATATATTGATATTATTAGGAGAATACAAATTAGAAAATCATGTAAAGTCTTAAATGAGGCAGAATTTAGAGAGTAGTATAAAGTTTTGAATAAAGCAGAATTAGAAAATGACATAAGATAAGTATAAGCGATATATTTGATAACTACTTGGTTTTAAAAATTTTTAACTAATTACAAGTTTTTTTTTGAATTCATATTCTCATTTAATTTTTTATTCATAATCTTTTTTATTATTTAGACATTAATTTTTGTATAGGGAATACTGCTAATAAGATATTTTAGTTGTACTATACATATAGTATTTAGGTGGTATCTATAATTTGTGTTAACTAGTACTGTATTGTATAGAAATAAAAACTTTGATAATAATATTATTTTTGTATTGTTTTTAAGATTTTATAACAGTACTACTTTAATGTAAATTATAGATGCTACTATAATCTTGTATTTTCAAACACAATTATTTTCTTCAATTTATAAATAAACATTATTTACTTTTGCTATTTAATATATAATATTCTAATTATGTATCATTTAAGACTTCTATTTATTTATCCTAAATATTTAAACCATATTTGTATATTGCATTGTAAATTGATAGTATTATTTGTATATTAAAAGATCAGATTTTTTATAAATTATTTGATAATATATAAATTACAATATTATACTGTATTATACAATCTCTTTAAACTTCAAACCTAATGCAATAAAACCTTTACAAGTACACACCTTCTTTAAAAATACACGATTTTAACCCAAATATATTCATAGACTTCATAAATATATATATACAGTATAACCTGTCAAATCTGATATGCATGGTAGCCAAAATTTGTATCAGATTTGACAGGTTATCAGATTTGAAAGGTTAATGATTTACTAGTTATATAATTATAAATAATTATAATTGATTAAATTATATTTATTATATATAAATTTGTTATATAAAATATAATTTAAGCCAATTAAATCAATTTAAATTATCTTTCAAATTCGATATATTATAAATATTTGATTTTTTAAGTATCAGTTATCAGGTTTGACAAGTTATCAGATTTGGTTTAAGGAACAAGCATGATAGATTAATTTTTTATCAGTTTTGACAAGATTAGATTTAACAAGTTCTACTGTACTTAGAGAAGCTTCACTATATATAATGCTTTTGCCTTATCTATTTACATATATATATAATAAAAAAATTTGATAGCTGTTAAAATGATATTTAATTTGGTTAGCAAAGCCAGTATAATCATATGATTTATGAGTTATCTTCACTATTATATAATTCCTAAAGATGGCTATGCTAAAAATAGTTTAATAGATAGAATTATTATAGTTTAGAAAATAAATATATTAAAATTTTAACCAAATAACTTAGTTTAGATAGAATTATTCTTGATTATTAGCACCAAATTTTCAAAGCTAGCATCAAAACCCAGAGTTGTGACTTATTTTGTATATGATTTTGTAATTAGAATTTTTGCTTTAACAATTTTTACAAATTTTATATAGTTAGAGACCAATTAGCCTACATGTTAGCCCACAGGTTAACCTGCAGGTCAACCTATAGGTCAACCTATGAGTTAACTTACCCAGATCATTACAACTTAATAGGGTTATCTGACCTACCTGCAGGTAACCCGAGTAGTATTTACCCAGGTTCAATCTCTATAAAAA